GGTGTCCCAATTTCGATGTCCGCATAGGCTATCTCCGAAACTAAAAGAGATAGAAAAAAAGTAGCTTACATGTCATGATCTCGTTTTTCGAGAAAATGCTAATGCCGAAAACTCCGAACAGCTATCGTCTTTTGTTTTCGCCCTATCGGCAAAAACTGAAAATTTTGCGAAAACGACAATCGCGAATATCTCACTTCTTATCAAAGATGGAGTATTATAAATAAAACATTATATGGGCAACTTTTTACGAAGAATTCAGTGGCGTAGGTAGAATTTTTTTCCCATCTTTTATTTTCGAGATTTTAGAAGTAACTTTATTTTTTTAAATGGAAATCATCGAGTACAGAGTACCAAGAACTTTATAATATTATTTATATTTACAAAAATTGTTTTTAATGTTAAAGAATAACTTGAAAAACAAAACAAAAAAAAAGGAATCCTAAAAATAGCAGCTGATCAGTGTTTTAGCAACCAATTTTTCGAAACTAGAATCGTTGAGAGTAGTGGTGGAAGGGATATCCGACCATTTTTTACTTTGTTCACTTTTTTACTTAGTATTCCACCATTCACAGGAATTGGTATCTCTTTTAGGTGTTGGACACTGCAGATAGTAATCAAGTTCAACCCCAATAAGACTTTTTTCATTGAATACAACTTTATTTATCATTAGCAACCTCATTGTAACAATCCTAATACGTTATATAAAATGTCTTGTTCCAGTTTCGTCTAGTTTTCTTCTCTTCGCTTGTAATTCATCATTACTATCAGAACTGTCGCTGTTATCACTTTTGATTATTAATTAAAGTATCCTCTTTTTAATGCAAAAAGCCGTTTTGAAAAATAACTTTCATTTATTGAGAAATAAATTTTTGAAATGATCGAAAATTTTTTCGAATTTTTGAATTTTCGTCGAATTTTGGAATTATTAAAGTATCCTCTTTTTAGAGTTGCTTCGTTACTTAAATCAGCATCAAAAAAATTCATTTTGTATCTTGGATCCAAATAAGTTGACATATCTTATCAGCTTTCTTATTAATTTAATTTTTATTCAAATATCGTAATAATGTGGCAATGTAGGGTATCACTTCAGAAATGCACCAGAAATTATAAATATAAATATAACTTGAGTTTTCTCCAACTTTTCCATCGAGTCAATTCCTCTTCTTTATATCAAAATGTAGTACAAATTATCAGCATTCAGACGCCATTAAACTTTATTCCGCCTTTTTCTGCTTTTCTGAAAAAAAGGTTTTTTTGTTCACTGTCTGTCACGACGAGCTGAGTCTAGTGAAAATTTGAGTTTACCCGAGGTGCTCGTTTCACCTAAAATATTTTTATTTTTCTCCAACTTCCGGTTGTACCGGAAATGGACCCCAACTTCGCTATTTTAAATAGAATGTACGAACTTTTATTAAATTTTCGGGATCCCCGCTAAATTTTAATATAATTCGTTCATACTTATATCTAGAGTGCACCATTTTTGAATTATTTCAGTTTTTTCGAAAATTTTGGCAGATGCAACCCTTACAATAAACATAATTTTTCGAAATTACACTGGAGTTCAGCCAAATATTCTAAAAGTTTGCACAGAGAGGGTTCACGGCTTGCATAACCCTTGAAAATTTTTTTTAAAAATTATACAGGCTGGTCACCAATTTGCGCCGAATTTCCGTATCTTGAAAAGTCGAAAACTTCGTTTTTTTTTAAATGGCAACACCGTATTGTACGCTGAAAAATAAGGGAATTTTGTCAGTACATCCCTATATCTAAAGTTTAATTTTTTGTTTTTGATCAAGTTTCAATTTTTATATTTTTTTATTTCTTAGATCATCCTGTATATTTTTTTTTGCGGAAAACGTAGTAAAGTTGAAAATGTGTATTTGATCCACAGTTATTAAATAATTTAAGCATGAAAAACTATTATTGCAATGATTTTCGATTTTTGGCACAGTTTTGATTCACTCTGGGCCGTAGTGTACAGGGTGGTTCAAATTGGATGTCCGAATATTCTAACTCGGAAACTGTAAGAGTTAAAAAAAAGTAGCTTACATGTCATGATCTTGTTTTTCGGGAAACTGCTAATGCCGAAAACCTCAAAGCGCTATCGTCTTTTGTTTTTCCCCTAAAGGCCAAAATTGAAAATATCGTAAATCCAGCAAGTGCAATTATCTTTGTTATTATTATAGGTGGAGTATTATAACTAAGACATTATATGGACACTTTTTTACAGAGAATTTCATGACGTAATCAAAAAAAATTTTTCGGTTTCAGATTTTGAGATATGACAATTTTCGTTTTTTTAAATGGAAACAACCACTTTGTTAATTGTTCGCTTATTAAATTCGTTATTTTTTTCTGATTACAAAAATATAGGGTTTAACAGGTCTATTTCTTATTGTTTTAGAATAAAGCTAAAAATAAACTTTTTTTTTAGTGTCATTAAAGAAATTAAATTTACAGTTTCCTGTAAATTATAACTAAAAATTTGTTGAACTATTTAATTTATATTTGTTTTATACAAAAGTTGGAATAGATTGCATTATATCACATTTTTTTTATTATAGTATATTTTAGTTTTAGTTTTTATTATAGAATAGTTTTTAGTTATTGTACCCTAATTTACAGGAAACTGTAAAAAATTAGTTTTTTTTTAATTGGGTTCAAGCTATTTATTTCGCTCCTTTTGTCATCGAGATATTTGTATAGGTCTAGCTCAATTTTTGATGTTTTCACTGCTTCCTTTTCAGTGGCAGGTTGAGAGGTATTCATAACGTGTTTAGATATTTTAGGTTCATTAAAATCAAAGAAGTCATCGCTAGAACCTCCACGTTCGCAAACCTTCTATTTAAGCTATCCATACATGTTCTTAAAAGTAATTCACCATTAGAACTCATACAATGGAGTTTTAATTTTTTCCCATTTATTTCTTAAAGAAAAAAGACTCGGCAGTAAGTATCTATAATAAACACAATTCTGTCCTTGCAAAACGTCGAGTGTTTTATGATTTTGTACCTGCTAGACCAATTCTCGAAGTAGTATCCTTTAACTTGTTTTTGCTGTCTTTTAATTTCTCTTTGTGTTTGAGATAGTCATCGTAGGATTTGTTTCCATGCACTCTTTGTGAATGAGTCTCTGTGTGTGAATTCTTGTCACACGTTTCAACCAAGAAAAATGTTCCTTCCAGCATTGGGGTGTTCTTACACTTTTCAATGTTACTTACTACAGTCGTAGTTGATAAAGATGTGGATGTGGATGCAGTACTGGGGTTAGCAACTATTTCAAGTGCCCCTAGAAGTTGAAATCGACGGCTTTTTTTAAATAGTATAATTTTTTGGGTTGTACAGATTGCTTTTTAGTCCTAGGGATCTAGTCTTCATCACTTTCTGATGAATTATGGAAAGGATTTGGTTCTGCACCATTTGAAATCTCCATGATCCTATCTATAAGTAAAGAAATACAATATTAAAATGTTGCCAAAAAATCAGACTAATAACGAATTCCATTGGGAAGAATTCTTGGTTATAGAAGAGTCCCAAGAATTAAAAATTAACAAAACAAAGACATGTTGGTAAAGGATAGACCTTTCAAATAAAAAAAATCTTATTCAAATCAAGCAATACGTTCAAAAGTTCTTGCAGATTGAAACTGATCATAATTTTTTTTAATTCATTACATTAATTGGAATTATTTTAGATATGCTTTGAGTTTGCGTCAAAAATTACTATCATTATTATGTAACGAAGACGGCCGATTTCGAGAAGAAAGAAAAGAAGAAAAAGTATCGAAAAGAAAAAGACTTTACACGTCAAAATCAACTAAAGAAGGTGATTTTATTGAAGGTGGGTGCGAAGAAATTTACGATTTAGTCGAAGAAGAATACGGATTCGAGGAATTTTGCGAAATAATAACATCGAGGTGTTTATATTTACTATTTAATATAAAAGGTAATTTTAATTTTAAATACATTTTCTTAATTAATTAACCTAAAACTAGAGTTTAGTGAAAGTCTTCGTGCTTACATTTCTTAATTAAATTTAATTTTATTTTTTAGAAATCAATTTAAATTCGCCAATTTCCTGTACGAACCTCGACGAGACTTTATCACCCGACCACCTCGATATAAAAGAATCTCTCGACTCTTTCTACATAAAACATATTTGCGCGAACGTTTTAGATTTCGTTTGCGAGGAGACGTTCCAAAAGAGTCTCGATGAATCCGAAAAGTACGTCGATTTATTCGCCCATTTATTCTCTGATTTACAAAATCTCCATGATACTCTTCTTCACCAAAAAATTAAAGCTGAGGCGCGATTACGTAGCTTAACGATAATGCATCAATTGTTATTAAAAAACGATGCAAAAACCCCAACCGTTTTATACTGCATCCACCAACAATTATTAACGGGTTGTTTTGGGTTAATTAATATAAGATCTGAGCAATCTTGCACTGAGTATCATTATTTAGATGGAATTGAAGCCTCGCCGTTAAAAATACGCGAAAATATTTGTGATTTAGTCCATGATATTCAAAAAAAATTGGTGTTGTTTTTGAGTACGGCGATTGATGATCAATCGATGAAACAATTGCAGTTAATTACAACGTTTTCTTTATGCAACGTTTATAAACCGGCCGATTTAAGTTTGGTGATACAAAACGGTTTGATGGAGGTTTTAATGGAGGTAACAACGCCGATTTTAGGCTCGAATAAATTAACGAGTCGCTCTCAAATTTTAACAATCGCGGCGTTGAGATTAACTCACATTTTGGCGGTGTCTTGTTGTATTTATTCGAAGAAATTAGATTCAATGATAACAGAAAAAATTATCGATAACATGTACGAACAATTAAACATGATTTTAGAAAATAAACCAACGAATGTATCTTGTTATTTAAACGCTTCGGTTTTAACGAGGGCTAGAACGAATTACGAAAAAATCTTGGGAAATTCTTTGGTTTTTTTGCGCACTTTAGCTTCGAGCAATTTAATCCAAAAGATTTTGGCTTCAAAGAAATGGGTCGACTCTTTATTAATAATAATTGGGGATAAATACGGGATACAAACAACAAATCAACCTTATGGGTTAAGATCGAAACTTTTAGCTTTACAACTTTTACAAGTTATTTTATCTGGATTAGAAGACCAACACATTTCAAAGGGGGATCGAGATTATTTAATCGAAGAGTTGATGGAGTCACTTTCAAATTGTTTTTGGTTAAAACCCGAAGCTGAAAAATTAAGCTTCTCATTAGACACAATCGACGAATTTCAACATCACATCACCGAACAACCCGAAGATAGCGTCGCAATGGAAACCGGTTTTGATCGGGAGAAATGCTCAAATTGCATCATTGAAAGTAATTTAACGTTATGTCACGAACCAGGGGGGAGAGGATACGGATTAGGGATGTCTTGTATCAAATCGGGATGTTATCAATGGAAAATTTTGATTGTTAAAGAAAATAAGGGTAACGAAGGAACTTGTATTGGAGTCGCAAGGTTTCCAATTAAAGATTTTAGCCACCGATCAACGAATGATATGTGGCTATATCGCGCTTACAACGGAAGTTTGTACCATAACGGCGAAAACGATTTGTGTTTACCCAGTTATACCCAAGGCGATTACATCACGGTCGTTTTGGATATGGACGCGAAAACTTTAAGTTTTGGAAAGAATGGGGAAGAACCCAAATTGGCGTTTGAAAATATTGACGCAAACGAATTATACCCGTGCGTTATGTTTTATAGCACAAATCCCGGGGAGAAAGTTAAAATTACCGATATGCAATGTCACGGGACTCAAAGCAATTTGTTACCGGGGGAACCCCATTTAACACCGATGGCTGGAATAGTTGCGGAAGCCCATATTGGATTAATTAGAAACTTACATAATTCGAATACATGGACTGAAGAGGTAAGTTATTTACGATTTTTATTAAAATAGTGAAATTTTTTTAACTCAAAACGCAAAGGGGAGTTAAGTTGCTAATTCTAGGTTTAATGTTTATTATTTATAATTAAATCTAGAACTAGATGTTGTAATCCTATCTTGACTTGCGGCCTAAGTTAGCGGTTTTGTATAGAATACTTTTCAAACACATACAAATATGCTATTTAACTAGGTTATTGTCTATGATACAAAGTAATATACAATAAGACTCTTGAAATTTTTGTAACTGCCTCTCTCTGACTCTTTTTTCTGACTTTTCCTTTGTCACGGGGTCTCTTTATATATATTTCAAAATTATGTTTTAATTAAAAGAAAGTGTAATTAGATAATGAACGCTTGTTAATCATTAATCAAGATTGAAAGTGACCCGTAATCAAGGTTACTATAATTATTTGAGAAAGTTGTATACAACATATCAACCTCAATTATTTCTATACATGAACAAAAAAATGATCAATTTTCGCCGATTAAGTTTTTAAAAATTCGTATAAAATCAATTTCTTGGAATATGAGTATGAAAATTTCCTAAGGTGTTAATAAAAGTGTCCTCTTTCCAATGAACCAACCCGTTTTGAAAAATAACTTTTAGTTTTTGAGAAAACAATATTTGAAGTTTTGATAAAATTTTCGATGTTGCAATTTTCATCGATAATTTTCAAAATTCGCTATAAAATTAATTTCTTGAAGGATCCTTGTGGAAATATCACCAATTATTAATTAAAGTATCCTCTTTTTAATGCAACAAGCCGTTTTGAAAAATCGCTTTTAGTTTTTGAGAAATAAATTTTTGAAGTGACGACAATTTTTAAAATTTTCGCCGATTAAGTTTTAAAAATTCATATAAAATCGATTTCTTGGAATATGAGTTTGAAAATTTCCCAAAGTGTTAATAAGAGTGTCCTCTTTCCAATGAACTAATGCGTTTTGAAAAATAACTTTTAGTTTTTGAGAAAACAATATTTGAAGGTTCGATAAAATTTTCAATGTTGCAATTCTCATCGATAATTTTCAAATTTCGCTATAAAATTAATTTTTTGAGGGTCCTTGTGGAAATATCACCAATTATTACACCTTTTTTCGACAAAATCCAACTTAACAAGTTTTCACAAAGGATTTCAAGAACCATTTCAAGAAATTTTATGCATCAACCTCAATTATTTCTATACATGATCGAAAAATAGATTCTTTCAGCTCCAATTTAAGGTATAAATCGTTTCTGAATTCCTCAAAATAAGGTAAAGGTGACAATTTTAAGTTGTCATTTTTCGTGACATAACCTTAATTAAAAAAAAATCAATTTTAAAAATTTTTGTAAATATAACATATATACAGGTGGTATTAATTAGCACACCCTACTGCATCTAGTTAAAAGCGCATAAAATCGAAGCAAAATGAAAGTTTTTCATAACGAACTTAAACGTGTTTATTTATTTATATACATATTTTGTAGTGAAACGTAAATTAACGAAACAAAAACAAAGAATTTGATATTTCCACTTCGAACCAGTTTCTGAAGAAGGAAACCTTTTATTAAAAGACGCACGGCAAAACCCGAAAGTTTCTAGTGTTAGTTCTAGTTTTAGTTCTAATCTTAGTTTAAAAAACAAAGAAATATAGAAAAATCACAAAAATCAAAGGTTGTCATTGACGTACCGGAAACAAAACTTAAAGATCACTTAATAAATTTGAAAAATATTCAGAATATACATAGAGTGTAAGTTGAATATTTATTCAGTATTTGGTTGGGTACCTTTTTTGTGTAATTACGGCTGCACATATCTCTTGGGATCTCTACGCACATATCTCTTGGGATTTTCTGCCATTCTTGTTGGATAACCTCCCATAATTCTTGTACCGTCTGTGGTTTTAGCATCATAACTCTTCTTTTAATAATTGCCCATAAGTTCTCAATTGGATATAAATCCGGGCTCTGTGCAGGCCAATTTAGAAGTGGTATTGCTAGATTCTGAAACCACTGTTTTACCAATATTGACCTATGGCAGAGGGCGCATTATCTTGTTGGAAAACCATTTTCGAAGAAATTGATAATGGCAAATTGTCCAAATATGGGATAAGATGGTTTAGCAATACATTTTGGTATGTCATACCATTCAACTTTCCCTTTATTTGAACAATAGGCCTACTTGCAATGTTGACATCATATACCTGCTGCATCGTGGCTCTTATCTGTGAAGAAGTAGCGAAAGGATCTTTGAGCGCCTGTCGGACAATTAGGGAATCTTCTCTTTTTGAGGTTTTTCTGCGTCTTGATCGATTTTGATTAGAAAAACTTTTATTATTTCGATAATGTTTAGGTGCGTTTTGAACTTTTTTACGCGAACTCCCAATAGATCGGATCATTTTCAAACATCTTCCATATTAGGCGTCTTTCTCCCTCCATAGAGCTTTTTTTGCGTCCCATCTCAATGATGTTTAAACAATTTTATGCGATTTTCGTTTAAATTGACTTAACTGACGTTTATAAATCAAATTTAACTGTCAATACGAACTTCACATGGAACAGACATTGCCAACGTCAGGGTGTGCTAACTAAAATGCCAACTTAAAGTAAACATTTTTACGAAAAAATATTTATAACAATTTAAGCAGCGATAAAATATTACTACAACAGAGCTATTACAAATGATACAGTATATGTCAATACAAACAAATAAGAAATTATGTTAAAATGGCGTTATACATAGTTCGAAATATGGATAGTACTGTTTGAATTTGCATTGAATTAACGTGTATTTCTATGCACCATCTTAAAATAGATTCTTTTAGCTGCAATTTAAGGTATGAATCAATTCTTAACGCCTCAAAATAAGGTTGAGGTGATTATTGAAAGTTTTTTGGACAAAATTCAACTTGACAAGTTTTCTTAAACGATTCGATTTCAAGAAATTTTTTACATTAACCTCAATCATTTCTATACAAGGTCTAAAAATAGATTCTTTTAGTTGCAATTTAAGGTATAAATCGTTTCTTAATTCCTTAAAATAAGGTAAAGGTGACAATTTTAAACTGTCATTTTCCGTGACATAACTTTAAATAAAAAAAAATTAATTTCAAAAAATTTTGTAAATATACCATACATATATATTTCTATGCATTATCTTAATATAGATTCTTTTAGCTTCAATTTAAGGTATGAATCAATTCTTAACTCCTCAAAATAAGGTTGAGGTGATTATTTAAAATTTTTACTTTTTTTGACAAATTCCAACTTGACCAGTTTTCAAAAACGATTCGATTTCAAGAAATTTTTTGCACCAACATCAATTATTTCTATACATGATCTAAAAACAGTTTCTTTTAGCTTCAATTTAAGGTATAAATCGTTTCTTAATTCCTCAAAATAAGGTAAAGGTGACAATTTTAAACTGTCATTTTCTGTGACATAACCTTAATTAAAATAAAATTAATTTCAAAAAATGTTGTTAAATATAACATATATATTTCTATGCATTATCTTAAAATAGATTCTTTTAGCTTCAATTTAAGGTATGAATCAATTCTTAACACCTCAAAATAAGGTTGTGATTATTTAAAATTTTGACTTTTTTTGATAAAATCCAACTTGACCAGTTTTCAAAAAGCATTCGATTTCAAGAAATTTTTTGCACCAACATCAATTATTTCTATACATGATCTAAAAACAGTTTCTTTTAGCTTCAATTTAAGGTATAAATCGTTTCTTAATTCCTCAAAATAAGGTAAAGGTGACAATTTTAAACTGTCATTTTCCGTGACATATGTAACTTTAATTAAAAAAAAATTAATTTCAAAAAATTTTGTAAATATACCATATATATTTCTATGCATTATCTTAAAATAGATTCTTTTAGCTATAATTTAAGATATGAATCAATTCTTAACACCTCAAAATAAGGTTGAGGTGATTATTTAAAATGTTTACTTTTTTCGGCAAAAATCCAACTTGACAAGTTTTCATAAAGGATTCGATTTCAAGAAATTTTTTGCATCAACCTCATTTATTTCTATACATGATCTAAAAATAGATTCTTTTAGCTTCAATTTAAGGTATAAATCGTTTTTTAATTCCTCAAAATAAGGTAAAGGTGATAATTTTAAACTGTCATTTTCCGTGGCATAACCTTAATTAGAGAAAAATCAATTTAAAAATTTTTTGTAAATATAACATATATAAAAATAGATTCTTTTAGCTTTAATTTAAGATATGAATCAATTCTTAACACCTCAAAATAAGGTTGAGGTGATTATTTAAAATTTTTACTTTTTTCGATAAAATCCAACTTAACAAATTTTCATAAAGGATTCGATTTCAAGAAATTTTATGCATCAACCTCAATCATTTCTATACATGATCTAAAAATAGATTCTTTTAGCTTCAATTTAAGGTATAAATCGTTTTTTAATTCCTCAAAATAAGGTAAAGGTGACAATTTTAAACTGTCATTTTCCGTGACATAACCTTAATTAAAAAAAAATTAATTTCAAACATTTTTGTAAATATACCATATATATTTCTATGCATTATCTTAAAATAGATTCTTTTAGCTTCAATTTAAGGTATGAATCAATTCTTAACTCCTCAAAATAAAGTTGAGGTGATTATTTAAACTTTTTACTTTTTTTGACAAAATCCAACTTAACAAGTTTTCATAAAAATTCGATTTCAAGAAACTTTTTGCATCAACCTCAATCATTTCTGTACATGATCTAAAAATACATTCTTTTAGCTTCAATTTAAGGTGTAAATCGTTTCTTAATTCCTCAAAATAAGGTAAAGGTGACAATTTTAAACTGTCATTTTCCATGAGATAACCTTAATTAAGAAAAAATTAATTTCAAAAAATTTTGTAAATATAACATATATATTTCTATGCACTATCTTAAAATGGATTCTTTTAGCTTTAATTTTAGGTATGGATCAATTCTTAACACCTTAAAATAAGGTTGAGGTGATTATTTAAACT